CTTTTCTCTTGTATCTCTGTGTCTTGGCATACCTCTCTTCCCGCCCCCCCCTTTTTTTTTTGTTCTTTCTTCTTTGCTCTTTCCTGAAGAAGATAATAAAATCTTATATTTTCATTTAGCTTTCCAGATGATCTTTGTGTACTTTACCAGACTGCAGCATAGAAAAGAAAGCCTTGTTTATTGCCTAACAGCATATACGTGCTTTATGATTAATGCGATGTGTTTGTAATACATGGGACTGATAATAGATAGGGAGATCAAAGCCTTCTGTGAATTGACAGCAGCACTATAAACAAGGTGAAAGGGTTGCAGGTGTTTCCCACACGGGTGTTATACAAAAACATATGGCCCTTTGCCATGATGTACTGTGCGCACACTCCATCTTTTCCTGCAGAGTAAGGCAATGTTGCTGTGAGCTTTGCTCTGAGAGCACATCCATGGCTCAGGACCCGGGGGGGTGCTGTCAGCAGCAGATGACTGTGCAGGGTGGCCAGAGCGAGCTTGGGGGCACACAAAGGATAATGCTAAATTGATCCTTCAAATTAGAAGTAGCTGACTGATCTGCTACATTGCCTGAGAACAGAAATCTGCATTCCCGGGGGGGAAAGGGAGATGATGTGCTTGGGTGTTGCAGGAGGGGCTGGGCAGTCCAATGTGCCTCTTGTCTCATGCTCCTACCTCAGCCTGTAGTTGGACTTGGCAGGCATCTCTTACCTCCATGGGATAAATTTTGCAGCCATGGCCATGGCAGGCACTAGGTCCAGGCTGAGATGCTCAGGACACATCTCTGTAGAAAACAATGGTGGTGCATGTGCAAAATAGCAGAAATCATTGCTGGGTTGCTGCTTATTCTTGTGGATAAAAGGTGCATTTATTTAATGACTAAATCATTGCAAAGAGAACTGCAACATCTTGGGTGAAACCTGAACACAAGGCAGAAGTCTCTGTCCTTTTCATAATTGACATGAGTGGTGCTTATCTGCTCTTACAAACCAAACTGCTGCAGTTGAGTGTGTTGGGCATTTGTAGCCTCTTCAGTTATTAAAACACTCTGGATGCAGATTAACTTCCTTTGTTCAATATACTAAATATACGCATATACTCAATACGTAACACCCTTCTTGACCTGTGAGCCCTTTGATAAACATGACTGCCTTTGCCACAATTTCTGGGAGTGGATCCATGCCCTCAGTTGAACACTTCAAGCACAGGGCTGCCCACTTCTGCACTGGCAGCCTGCTGGGGCGCTGGCTCATCATCCACCCTTTGGTCTGCTGGAGGGAGCTAACGCTGACCTCACACTGTTGGTGTACGGGTGCCAGGCCTTTCCTGCCTCACCTTCTCGGTGGAGCTAATGCTGCTGGTCTAAAAATGTGCATTTTTTACTCTGTTTCAGAGCACCGCAGCTTAAACTGAAATTTAATAGACATTACTCCAACAACATAACTTAAATAACTGAGGCCTCATCTACACAGGAAAATTACATTCATATGTGGGTCATGAAATTTATTTTTACTGGTATGCAGTGTTACAACAGATTGTCATGTGGACAGAATTGAATTGCTCCGAGGACACCATACTACATTCACATTCTTGTTTCTCTGCAGGACTGATCTAGATAGTCCCGAGCATTTGCATTATACCCTGAATGCCCTACATGAAAATATTACGAAGGGTTGGGTCAAGCAGTGTAATGGTACTGTATCACTGTAGTTAAAGGTAGGAGTTTTGTGTGTGGACAAGACCTGTGAAAAGATTAACCTAGAGAAAGTTAATAAAAAGTGCTGTCCTAAATTATTCATGAATCTATTTATAATGCACTTGCCAGGAGGCTTTTGTTTTTCTCAAACTCTTATTTATTAAAATCTGACAAGAATATCGGGTTTCATTCAATAATAAATCTATGTGAGACTGGTGATATCCACATGTAGTAATACAGAATCAAAATGAAGTTACAAGGCAGGGCTGAATATGTTATTTACTTGGGATGAATAGATTATTGTTCAGGAGGATTTTATCTTTTACTTCCTATTTTAGAACATGTAAAAAAAGCCCAAACCTAGCTGGGAGATATCCTCTTCATTTGTGATGGAGGCCTTGATCCTGCAAAGGATTTAAGATACGTTAAAACTCAGTTAAGCATCATGGCTTTGCAGGTTCTGGACCTATGTTTGCTAAATGAAGTAGCTCAGATGATCTTCTTTCATGCTTAGTTCTTCTTGTCCCTTTTCCTTAACTTCAGGGGAAAATCATGGAAGTCATGCTCCTAGCCTGTGGATTTTGGCTTCCAAAGCATGTCCATACACATTCTCTTCTTTTTGTGTCCTAGAAAAGGTTAGAAAGATTATATACAGAAGGGAGGAGAATGGAAAAAAAAAAAAAAAACCACAAAAAAAACCCAAACAAACCACCACAGGAAGAGAGCTTTTACTGTTTGGGATACAATAAAAGATGATAGTTTGTGTGTGCTTTACAGCAGTCATTCCTTAAAAACTGGCAGAACTTTGCTTAAAAATCAATTTAAGATTTTTTTTCAGTATTTTCAATTTATTAAATTTAGGGGACTTTTCCCTTCCTTCTCTGCCCTTATTTCTAAATGGATAAAGGAAAAATAGGTGTCTATAGATAGAAAGTTAGAGTAGGGTAAATAAAAAAGAAAGCTTAGCTGTGGAAGCAGAGCTGGAAGTTGATGTGACTGGTCTGAGTTGGAGGATGATGAATAGATTTGTTTGCATAAGCTTGGCCTGTGAGTCCCTTTCTCATAAAAGCAGCTTGAGTAGGAGATGCTCCTGTCCCAAATTTTAGTCCTGAATGCTTTCCAGCACAAAGTGCGCTGTGACATAAGAACTCCAACTGTGAGTCCTGTCCTGTTATTCCAGTGGACTGAAGCTGGAGCTCTGCAACTTCCCAAATTTTAAGTAAACTAGAAGTGTGTCTCTCTCACACACACACATATGTGCTTTGCATGATGTATCATGTGATGCCTCGTGGTGGCCAGAGTTAAGCTATCTGGGTAGACATAATCAGCTTCTGATTCAGATTTGGAATCTGATGTTAGGGATTTAGTCCCTGTGAAAAACTGTGTGTTGGAGGATCATCAGCTGCCAACCATTAAAGGAGACAAGGAACTCAATAAACTTGGGAGAGGGGAAGAGAAGAGCAAGGTGTGAGTGGTCAGTATTCATGGTTGATCGTCCCAGAAAGGTTGGGAGCAGCACAGGTCTTCACCTTGGGAGCTTGCTTTCCCTCTCTGATGCCAGAGAAATTGCATAAAGTACATGCAGAAGGGGCATGTAGGGCATCATCGCCTTTTGCCAAAGACTCTGATCAAAGCACTCTTTAAAATGAGGCCTCAGCTCTTTCTTATGGACCTGTTAGGATTCTGAACAAAAGTTTGACCATTAACAGGCAACTCCCTTGCTGTGGTTTAGCAAACTGGGAGAGGCGAAAAAGATTTCTTTTAATAGGCTGTACCACCTGTATCTGAGATTCAAGTGGAGCCTGTGTGTTGGATTTGGGAAACAACAGTTCCCTCTGGAAACCCACCAGGAAGAAAATTATTTTCTTGTTCTTCTCTGCCATTTGTTTGTTATGAGTTTTGGTGATATGGGGGTCAAGGTGGACTCTGAAACCCTGCTTTGGAATCAAGGTATTTGTCTGACTTGTTTGCCCTTGGTGAAATCAGTGCTGCTGCAGCTTCATTGCCATGGGAACCTCCAGTTACTAAATTTAATTCAGCCCAGGGTTTGCTTGTCTGTTCTGTTGCTGCAGTGTAGATAGGTGATAAGCAATGTATTGATACTAAGCTATATCATACCAAAATGATTAGGCATCGATGTTACCACAGTATTGCAGCATCTGTGGTGTTGCTCTTCCGTTCTGCTGAGCTGACTGGCCCTCCTGTGCCTGCTGCCAGCCTCCTCTTCCTCTCTCCTGGCAGAGCAAAGGGAGTGCTGCCTGCATAAGTCTTTCTGGTCCAGCAGTCAGCAAAGGTAGGGACTGCAGGCAACCTTTGCTTGCTGGTGGTACTTCTTCCTTCCCCTGCAGAGCAGCTGAGCATGGAGTGCCTGTGAGCCTTGGGGGGAACGCTGCTGGAGAAGGGAGCTCTGCACCCCTAGGAGTCGTGGGGTTGGGGTGGGTCCCAGTACCTCTGCACCATCTACAATGGTGTGACATCCCCCAAGGACAAACCCAGGCTCCACAACATCAGATTAAACTGGGAAGAGGGAGACAGAGGGTGTATAAGCAGAGAGAAACCCCTGTCACCCAGTCTTCTTCTAAAGTTCTATTAATTCCTTTATACTTGGTGATCCTTTTTCTTTTCCTTTTTTTTTTTTTTTTTTTTTTTTTTTTTTTTTTTTTTTTTTTTTTATTTTTTTTTTTTTTTATTTTTTCTTTTTTTCCTATTGGTGTTATGTAAGATTTAGATGGTGTCTGTTAGGCAGTTATGTTCATGGTAACGCAGAGCCTGGGGTCTGAGAAGCACTCAGTGCCAGTGCTAGTAGAAGTGGTGAGTGTGCCTTTACAGCAGCTGCCCTGGGGGCACTTCTGGAAGGGCTCATTGTAGACAGGGATTTGCCATGGAAAGACATTTTATGTGGCTAACTGCAGGATAATCGATTTTGTAAGTCTTTCATGACTGTATGGGTTGTTGGTTTCTGATGTTTTGCCTCTCTGTAGTTTAGTTTAGTGATGTTACATCACTTTGTACAGAAATCATAGTGAGCATAGAGTGTGTAAACCTCTACATTGAAATGTTGGGTGAGTATTGATTAATCAGTAAAAGGTTTTAAGATGTTTCCTTTAAATTCCAGGACTATGCATCTTAATTTAATAGTTGAGAGGGATGGGGAAAGATACTGCTTTACCCAAGGGAATATAATTTCTGTGATATTTGTTCATGGCAAGTATTTTCAAGCCAAAGAGGTATTTTAGGGAAGGAAACACTTCTCTGGTTGTCATTATGCGCTAAAATGACTCTCTACTTTATTTCTTTGTAGGTATTACATTGGTCGCCAGATGTTTGTGGTGGTCTCCACACCAGAGATGATCAAGCAAATTTTAGTGACAAACTTCAGTAACTTCACCAACAGAACTGTAAGTAGATGAAAAGGCTGGCTTTGTGGATGGAGTTGGTAGTACTGCTAATTTGAGCTCAGACTAAAGCGACTATAAGGGAGCTGGAGACAGGGGAAAAAGTACATGGTTCAGTAAGACTTAAAGCTATATAAACTCAGTGTATACATTCAGTCAAAGTCTCTTGTTACCAGGACACTGTGAGGATGAAAGAGAATGTTCTTAAAAGAGCTGCACTGCACTTTTGAATTGAGGCACCAGGTGGATGCTGAGGAGAGGGGGTTTCAGTTTCCAGTTTTGCCACAGACCTCCTGTGAAATCCTGGGGAAGTCACTCACTAGCTCTCTTCCTTGGTTCTCAAACTGTAACAGTACTATTTGCTTTCTCTGGCCCACCATCTGTTTTGTGGTTTTAGGCTTTCTAGGGCAGGAGCAGGCTGCTTGGGACAGGGACATGCCTCCCACAGCTAACGTATGTTGCTTTGTCATACAATGACTCTGAAAATAATAAATAGCAAAGAATGAAGTTGGAGTTAGCAAGGACTTACACATATGCTGTTGGTTACATGCTTATATGTTAAAAAGCTCTTTTTCAAGTACTGGTTAGAACAAATAATGAAGGAGGAATGGCTAGAGGGATAGTAAGGATTTCCAGCAGTTCCTCAGCATTTTGCAAGGAAATACTGTCACTGTGACCACACGCTGCCTCAGTGCCATCCATTCCCTGCTTCCTCCTGGCCTCTTTGTATGCTCAAACCTGCTCAAATAAACTCACATGTGTTCAGAAGGGTTGTTTGTGCCCTCAGGAAAAAGTTCATCTCTCATCAGCTGTCTGTCTCCTCTGCCCCTCCAATCCTCTCTGCAACCAGATAGTCTGTTTGCAGACTGCTTGTCTCCTTTGCTCGCTTCTTTTGCTACATGAGGTTCATCTTGTGACTACCTGTGTCTTATTAAATAACCACTTGTACCAGTTGTCCTCCATTCTGCCTGTAATTCATTTCTGAATGGAAGAATCCCAGTGTGCAAACTTTAGTTAGAAGTTGTGTATAACGAGGGTCTTTTCCACATTTTTTCTGTATTTGAAAGAATTTCCCACCCCTTCCCATCTTCCACCCCCATGCAGGAACCCAGTTTCTTCCTGTTTTTAACTTTCCCATTATTTTCTCCTGTATATTTAATAGGACTAGACTGTAACCACTATTCATAGCAGTAGCTGGTGCCCAAATAACACCTCTATGAAATTAGAGAGCATTCCTTTAAGGGTAGATTCAGATACTCATTCTGCTCTTATTTTTTGTCAGCCTCATCATTTGACTATATCTGTCTGTGCATTGTCACCCTTCTTATTTGGCAAAACTTTTCTTTCTCTCCAGGCATTTATGGTCAGAGGTTTATCTCTCTTGTGGTTGTACATCCATCTGTCATGCTCTGTAACATTTGTGTGCCTTTCTAAAAGGAGGTAGGTCAGGTCACTATAGCCAGTCTCTCTCACTCCCTCTTTTTCTTCATCAGGGATCTGTTAGGTATAGCTGTATGTGCAGGTTCATATCTTGCCCTTATCACTTGACTGTCCCCTGAACCATTTGTGGCTTTTCTGCACTACATCCTGCTTTATGAATGAAGAACTGAGGCACAGACTGAGTGACATCCCTGCCGCTAACCAGAAAGCCTGTGGCAGATGAGAAAATTTAACTCCTACCCCTCTCTAACAAAATGAACAGCTTCCCCCCTGTGCACTGTTGCTATTTCTGGCTTGCTTAATGCCCACGAGTCTAATTCAAATGAACTTGCTTCATCTTACATGCTTTTATCTGCTTGTTCCATGATCTTCTCACACAGCTGCAATCTTTGAGCGTTGTTATTTCTCACTTTCCACTTTGTTCCCCCTCTTCCACCCATTGCTTTTCACTTACTGAAGATAATCAGCCTTCTGTTTCTGGATACTTCCACATCTAACTTGGAAATATTTTTCCCCTCTTGAATTTTCATACTGGAAGCTGCCTCTCCTCTTTAATTCACAGTCAGCTCTCTCGATGAAGTTTTTCACTATCCTGTACACTAAGGATTCTGTATGAAAATAAATAATGCTGGATGGTAGGCAACGAAGGCCAGTGGAATTTATTCAGCTGTGATTTTGGTTGTATGTGAATAATAGTTGAAAGGTGAGAGTGAAAAAGCACTTTCCAAGTAACAGAATACTTTCTTCTGATATTGACTGAATAAATGTCATTTTAAGACTTCCAATAGAGTTGCTTCTGTTTATGTCTTTAAAAATTACTCAAAGCAATCTCTTCTACTTTAAGTGAGGGTTTATATTTGCCAGTGGAGAATTCAAAATGCAAAATAGATCCCCCTATCTTATGTTACCCATTCCTTCCCAAACTTATCTACTGATGATTGTTTACAGAATTGGCTTTGGAGTTAGTGCTGTGCACAAAGCTAGGCTAATATCATTCAGTCCAGACATGGCATACAGTTCTTATTTCAACCCAAAGCCTTTTTTCAGGTTGTCAGTCTTTAAGGGTGAGAAGGATGGGAAGGGGAGTGAGACTGATGAGTTTGAACAAGCCTTGGGAAAATCCACTGTGTTTCCCCTCCAACCCCTGCCAGTCCATTTCCAAAATCGAGGTTTGTACTTCATCCATCAGAGGTGAAATGTGAGTTATCTAACCCAGAATTCCACAGAGAGATTATTCACTGCACTCTGTACCAATTGTAGCAATCATATGTTAACAAAGCGTCGCTAAATTGCAGGATGTACAGGACTAATTCTAAAAGCAAAGTGTAGGAAAAGTTTATATTTCATGTTTATTTTGCTGCTCTTTCAATTAATCTTAAAATATGTATACGTTAGAGTAAGACACAATGGGAAATTGAACTTGTGAAGGGTTGCAAACAGTGGATGTACTTGATAGACAGAAGAGGGTAAAATAATGATTCAGTGAACTCCGAGCTTTTATTAAAGCTGTCTATAATGTGATGTCATGTCTTTGAGTGCTCATAAAAAGAATGACCTTAATCTGGGATTGTGCACTTGCTGGTTGCTTGCTGGGAAGTCATCAGAAGACCTTTATGGAATTGGGGTGGTTTTAATTTACTGAGAGGACTCATTCAGAAGCATCTTGTGTCCTGTCTCCACATCCAAAGACACCTTGGCCACTTCGTACACTTCTCACACGTTGAACCTATCTGCTCACTCATTATATGGACAAAGTAGATTTTGCATGGGATCAGAAGCCAAACTCCTGTTCAATTTATGCAATTATGTTTCCCTTTGATATTATACATTTCACATCTTTACGATGAATACCTTTCGAATATTGCTGCAAAAAGCCTTTTAGGTTCCCTTGCCATCTTCTGTTGTTTCCGAGTTACTAATCAGTAATTATTGCAACAGAAGTGTATGGAGACTGCAGATCAAATCTTCATTAAGGTTCACTTCCTTTTAGAACAAGCAACCAAGTCTAGCATGCAGGGTGTTATTCCCCTGTAGGCATGGCATATATTTATTGTTAACTGTATAATCACAGGCAATAATGACACTGTACTTTCCCACTTAATTTTGATTTAATTAAGGTGAGCATTGTAGCCATTTAAAAACAAAAATATCTACTGTACCGTACCTTCATACTTGAGCCATATGAAGCCTTTTCCCTATGTTTTTAATTATAGTTGGAGAAGAAAAGATGAAAATTAGCTTATAGACCTTCTGCCAAAAAATATGGAGTTGATTTTAATTTAGGTTAACCATGGAAACCTGAGCCAGCATTCTAGGCAAGGCTGTGCTACAGTAAATGATACCTTTTTCTCACAGCTATGGTAAGTTGTCTCTTGATTAAAAGTTTTCTTTTAAGAGCACTAAAAATGTTTTTAGCTGCATTACTGTGTTGTGAGTGAGATAAGTTTATGATGTTTGCTGCATTCTGCTGGGCAGGATAATGATACATAATCTGTTTTCAGATTGTTTTTAATTTCTGAATTGAAAATTTGTTTTTGAATTAGTACTTGAGAATCATTAAAGTGTACTTTTAAAAATGTAGGAACAGAATGTTAAGATGGAGCAATGTGAAGAGAGATATTACCTGGTATGTAATGTAAATGACTCAGAAGTTATAGGCCAAACTGTTTTCTAAAAATGTGGATCAGTGAGCCTGAAGGCAAATTTAAGTACTGGCTAGTCAAAGTTTGCCAGGCTGTTGGAGTCCATGCTCTGCCAGGATTCATGTGGCTATCACAAATGGAAACTCAGGTTGATCCAGACCAAATCCTTAAATCTGCATGCCAACCAGCTGGAAGAAGGTGCCATTTTTAAACATTAAAATCTACACCAATTCCAACAGCTGTAAGAAAACATTACTGTTTTCTCATCGGTAGCTTTGCTGTTACAGTAGAAAAAGTAACAATGGGTTAACAACAAATAATAAGAACAAAATAGTAAAAGTAAGAACAAAATAGTAGCAAGGAAATTGCTATAACATGGCAGTACAAATTCCTTATATCCCTCTTCAAGGAAAAGTGAGTTGCCTGAGCTTCTTTTCGCTTGTCTATCCTTCCCCTTCCTCCTCTCCTTGTTCATCTGTGTGGGACATGATTATTCTTTTCACATGTAGAATTTGCCTGTTGCACGAAGCTGTTGGCTTCATCTTTATTCTGTTAATTCTCTAAAGCTTCAGGCCTACCTGTGGCATTAAACAAATAAAATACAGCCACCAAATAGGAAGGAGCCTGTTTTCTGCATCTTCTTCAGCTGTGGTCCGGGACAGCTGCCGTTATCCCACGCTTTGGTTGTTCTTTTGGGTCCCCTACTAGAGGACACAGTACTGGCAAGAAAAGTGTGTATACTGCTCTATCAAAATGTCTATCCAAATTTGGTACAAGATACCCTCCAGAGGTCCCTTCCAACCTCAGCCATCCTGCAGTTCTGTGAATTCTGGGTCAGGCCCTCAGGCAGCATAAATCAGCACACTTCCATTAACTTCAGATGGCCCTACACTGACTGACAGCGATGATGCATCTCCAGAG